TCCTAGACCTAAGATAAAGATTAAAATATAATCTCTCACTATGAAGGAGGAACATAGATTGCAGGTGTTTGAGAATAGGGTGTTGAGGAGGATATTTGGGCCTAGGAGAGAAGACGATGCGGTCTGGAGAAAACTGCATAATGATAAACTTAAAAATTTATACTCCTCCCCCAGTATTGTCAGGGTGATTAAGTCGAGAAGAATGAGATGGGCTGGGCATGTAGCGTTCATGGATGAAACGAGATGTGTGCATCGGGTACTGGTTGGGAAACCTGAAGGGAAGAGACCGCTGGGGAGACCTAGACGTAGATGGGAGGATAATGTCAGGCGAGATCTATGGGAGATGGGAGTTGAAGGAGACTGGATTTTGTTGGCCCAGGACAGGGTCCGGTGGAGGGCTTTGGTTGATTCGGAAAGAATTGCGGAAAACCGATCACCGAAGCTGATCAGCATCGGCAGAAGTCTGCAGAGACGACCAATACAAAGACTGAAATATTTTAATCCCCGCAAACACAACTATCCAACAGCCTCATGTCGTGATATTGATTATGACGCTGAATTCGGTAATTTGCATTCTTACATAATGTTTGATGAAGTTTTCATAATTGTATTGCTCAATCTAATTTGAAATAACCGACGTTCCGAATTCTTATTTACGTATTCTACAGAGTTTCATGTTGTTATGCAAAAGCCGAATATACAAATACGACGTTTGTTGCAAACTGAAACAAGTTAACGAAATATTAGCAAATCAAACCAACTTAATCTGCATTAAGGGACACAAAGATAGAGCTTTGAACTGAAGCCACAGGCCCTAGTAGTCCTTTACGTGAATTAAAATCTTTCCTAAGAAAATTTAACAGGTTATTATTTTCCGGACATTATTTTTATTAGTTTGGTAACTGTACAACCGCATCGGTTGTAATAAAAAAGCTATCTTTATAATACATGTATGTATTCTTGGCGTGTATAAAATCTTCAATTATCTCAATAGTCTAGTTTTAGTGTTAACATTGAATACAACTTTTATGCCATAATCACGTTTATCAGCGAATTTTAATAATATCCATATACTCTCCGAATGATGAAATAGTTATGAACGTTAAATTTAAAATAAATTTTAAGGAGAGCGTGACTTATGTCCCCCTCCAGTTTCTTGTAGTTATGAGTGAATAATGTATTAATTATTGAAGGTTTTAATATTAGTTAACATATAATTTGTTCGTAGGCTGCAGAGTCAAATTCTCCTGGGAATGGAGTCTAACACAGGACTTTCTCCCACTTCTGCAAGCCACGTGACAGAATCACGGAGTCCAAAGGAGCCAAAGTTGTCGTCCAATCAACCGCAGCTTGGCTCAAAATCAAACCAGGTAAATTAATTCACAAAATCGAATTCCTACAGAAGCCTATTTGACAATTACGTGATAAACATCAGTTCGTACATCAATATATCACACAAAATAAATTTCATCTTTCATTATATTATCGACGTTCAATGGTGCTTATACACCATCCTATAAATAAACTTGCTTTCGTTTTGACCCAAGTCACTGGATAAATATATTTGAATATCATATGTTTGTTCCTGTAGCTCTAGTCTAGGCTACACAGCGTCGAATGGTATGGTTACAAATTAATAATTAATTAGAAAATATGTGGAAGAAAGCGGCTGTCTCATAATTTATGACATTAATCCGGTAGTTGTTTGAGTTAAATGACGAAAATTACAATAACGCAGTTAGGTTACCCAGTTTGCTGGCCCAGATTTGAATCCGAGACTTCTTGAACATGAAGCAACTATACTAACCACTCTTCTGCAACGTTCGATTATTATCATAAATAGATATATCTATGTAGACGTTCATGAGAAATCCTTGTTCATACTCCAGAAGGTAACTAAAAGTGCTGATAGAGATACCTCGATTTTCAAGGTCACCAGAAAAACCTGTTGTTCATCATAACATATCAAAATATTTCGATCTCAGGTGAGCATATTGCTGACAGAATATATCGATGTTCAGATGGGTGTGGTATAGTGACGCATGTAGGTCTTTAAATTTATTATATAACGAGACTCGATGATCAGGTAAGCACGGTGCTGATACACGAAGGGATCTTATAAAGTTGTCGATATATCTCGATGCTCAGGTGAGCACTGTGTTGCTGTACGGGATCCCGATCGTATCGCTTGTGATCGAGTCTCAAGAGAGGCTGTGCCTGGCGCAGATTTCCAACACACTGCTCAAGGAATTCAGCTACAACGAAATTCACAACCGGCGCGTGGCTCTGGGGATCACTTGCGTGCAGTGCACCCCGGTACAGCTGGAGATCCTTCGGCGGGCTGGAGCCATGCCCGTGTCTTCCCGTCGCTGCGGTATGATCACGCGACGGGAGGCCGAACGCCTCTGCAAGTCCTTTCTGGGTGACAATAGCCCTCCTCGCCTGCCGGAAGACTTCGCCTTCTCTGTGCACCACGAGTGTGCCTGGGGGTGCCGCGGGGCTTTCTTGCCCGCCCGCTACAACTCCTCCCGGGCCAAGTGCATCAAATGCACTCTCTGCGGCCTATTTTTCTCGCCAAACAAGTTCATATTCCACTCGCACCGCACAGGGCCTGCTGCCAAGTACATCCAGCCCGACGCCGCCAATTTCAACTCCTGGAGGAGGCACATGAAGCTTAGCGGTTCACCACCAGAGGAGGTAAGTAAGTAAAGTAAAGTAAAGTTTGTCCCACTATACGCCATGCAGGCGTTTGGGGTGAGAGGAGGTATAGCTCCTCTCTTCCTTGACCTCGGCACTAGATGGGGGTGAGTGGCCAGCATCAGCAGAGGCTAGAGGAAAAATCCTCTGCCCCCGTCGGGGATCGAACCCCGGTCGTCCAGCCCGTAGCTAGTCACTATACTGACTGAGCTATGGAGGTACTTTTGTTTTGTCCCTCTTATTATATTGCATCTTAATTGTTATTCTTATTGGTCAACTTGTGTCGAAGATTCAGGATGATGTTTGAGGTTCTACGGTGACGTGTCTGATGGTGGATGTCTTCTGAGATACAACAACATTTCTTCTTGTAGATATTGAGCTTTACAGGAGCTTCTTGCCTCTATCATCAGAGTGATAATGCAGCAATAACCTCTGGAATGTCGGTCAGTCAATACCTACCGTGCTACATGACAGCCATCTCAGACTGAGAATGATTCAGCAAAAGTGATCTAAGAAAGGAAGTAGCAGAAGGATGACGAGATTGGAATTTAACTTCTTAATTCATACTCTTCGTCAAATGACAGGTTGATGAAATCCATAAGTAATCTTATGGGATGGCCGGGAATGTGGCACGCATGGAAAATATGACATATATAGACTTACACACAATTTTAGTAGGAAGATAGAAAAGAACAAATAACTTTGGAAACCCAGACAACGATGACAAAAATAAAATAAAAATTGATGTTAACAAACTATGGCTTTTCTAAACATGTCAATGGACCTTCGAATTTCATAAAATTCTTGAAATTGGTATCAGCTACTGTCTGTTAATCGAGAATGACAAATTGTAATGAAGTTAGTTTGTAATTATTGGCAATTACATTTGAGCTAAAAGTTTTTACAGAATTGGGTACGGGATTACTTCGTTAAATAGTAGAAATGGAAAGAAAGAATTTATTTTACTAGTTTGATTTCCATTTCCTACTTTCCTACAATAAGGAGCAAGAGAGAGAGACACAAAGAGAAAAAATAAAGGAAGAAATAGGAAAAACAAGAAAAAGAACAAAATAAATAAAAATAAAATTAGACGTGGTTTCGATCTATGTGCACAGAACAGTCACATAGACTACGTAAACTGTTCTAGATCATTCACGCCTGGGAAGACGTCAAGGCGATGTTTAACGGTGGCACCAGAAAACGTCTGTTGGCATCAGCGGCTGTCGTTCATAACCAAAGTCATCACCCCCAGCCAACATCGACACCAGCAAAGCAAGCCAAGGTAACGCAAGAGCCTTCGACGTCCACAGTCCCCTTTTCGGCGACCCCTGCTCCTATTTCCGCCCCGCCACCTCGCGTTCCACCATTCCCTGATCTCCCACTACCACTTTCCCGCAGCCTGGTCATGGACTACGTGTGGCACCACAGCACAGGAAACATCAAACACCATCAGTTCCCGTTCCCGCCCTACGCGGCGGCACTTCCCTGGTTGGCGAAGCGAGGGAGCCCTTTTCTGGGTTTTGGTCCGACGCCGCATCCCGACGGATCGCTCCACGCTGCGGTGGGACCGCAGCCAGGAGACAGCAAGTTATACCAGTCGGCTTTCCGGCCGGTGTACCCCGTACTACCTCGGCCCTTGGAGTCAGAGCAGCAACCCGACTACGACCTGGAGGCCTGTAGCGACGAGGAAACTGTCGACATCGAGACGACAGAGGAGGACCCACCCGCAAGCACAGACACTGCTGCCAACTGCTGGAGCAAGGATC